GGCGCGCTCTCTGCTTCTCTCTCCTTTTTCCCCCCCGCTCCGCACTCCCGGGCACCCTCAAACCAGTCCACGCTGCTTCCCTCTCCCTCTAGTCTCGTCCCCCGGCAAACTTTCGGTCCCTCCCCCGCCGGTCACCCGTTATTCGTCGTGGCTCGAGCCCGGCCGTGCCGCCCCGAGGGCTCCTCCGGACCTCCCTGCCTGCAAGTCCGACCATTACACGATCCAGAAACATGTCGACCACGCTTCTGTCTGCCTTCTACGATATCGACTTCTTGTGCAAGGTACGCGAGGGAACAAGGAGGGAGGAAGGCGGGCAGGCAGGAAGCCCCTCGAGTTTTCAGACTTTGCTTCTGCCCTCCGCTTTTGGGGCACCCCTCCCCACCTTGACTTTGGGGTCGGGAAAAGTCCTGGAGTTTGCTGTAGTGTGTGCTCGTGCTTTGTGGGCGGGGAGAAGGAGCAGGGAGGAAGGGCAGGAGGGAGCCGCTGTCGCTGTTTAGTTTCTCCGGCGCCGACCGCGGCCACGCTGCCCGGGGCTTCCCGGACGGGGTTTGCGCCGCCCAGGCTGGCGGCCCACGGGCTGAGGATCACATGTCGCAACCGACCGCGGCCTGGGGTGGGAGTCGGCTCCTCCCAACGCGAACTTGCTTCTTTTGCGCGTGTACGGGTGGAGGGTGGGGGCCGAATCGAAATCTGCGAAAAGGAAGAAGAATCAGAAGGCTGAAGTTCCTCTGCAACTCGCCCCAACTCATCCCTCCCTTCCCATATTTCATCCCGTCCTCGCCCCCCTCCTTTTGGCAGACGGAGAAATCCCTGGCCAACCTCAATCTGAACATGCTGGACAAGAAGGCGGTGGGGACGCCCGTGGCCGCCGCCCCTAGCTCGGGCTTCACGCCGGGCTTTCTCCGAAGGCACTCGGCCAGCAACCTGCACGCACTCGCCCACCCCGCGCCTAGCCCCGGCAGCTGCTCGCCCAAGTTCCCGGGCGCGGCTAACGGCAGCAGCTGCGGCAGCGGGGCGGCGGGCGGCCCGGCCTCCTACGGCACCCTCAAGGAGCCGTCAGGGGGCGGCGGCACAGCCCTGCTGAACAAGGAGAACAAATTTCGGGACCGTTCGTTCAGCGAGAACGGCGAGCGCAGCCAGCACCTCTTGCACCTGCAGCAGCAGCAACAGAAGGGGGGCGGAGGCTCCCAGATCAACTCGACGCGCTACAAGACTGAGCTCTGCCGGCCCTTTGAGGAGAGCGGCACGTGCAAGTACGGCGAGAAGTGCCAGTTCGCGCACGGCTTCCACGAGCTGCGCAGCCTGACCCGGCACCCCAAGTACAAGACGGAGCTGTGCCGCACCTTCCACACCATCGGCTTCTGCCCCTACGGGCCGCGCTGCCACTTCATCCACAACGCCGACGAGCGGCGGCCCGCGCCGTCGGGGGGCGCCTCCGGGGACCTGCGCGCCTTCAGCGCGCGGGACGCGCTGCACCTGGGCTTCCCCCGGGAGCCGCGGCCCAAGCTGCATCACAGCCTTAGCTTCTCGGGCTTCCCGTCGGGCCACCACCAGCCCCCGGGGGGCCTCGAGTCGCCGCTGCTGCTCGACAGCCCCACGTCGCGCACGCCGCCGCCGCCGCCCTCTTGCTCCTCGGCCTCGTCCTGCTCCTCGTCCGCTTCGTCCTGCTCGTCGGCCTCCGCGGCCTCCACGCCCTCGGGCGCCCCGACGTGCTGTGCCTCGGCAGCGGCTGCGGCCGCCGCGGCCCTGCTGTACGGCACCGGGGGCGCCGAGGACCTGCTGGCGCCGGGCGCCCAGTGCGCGGCCTGCTCGTCGGCCTCGTGCGCCAACAACGCCTTTGCGTTCGGCCCGGAGCTGAGCAGCCTCATCACGCCGCTCGCCATCCAGACCCACAGCTTCGCCGCCGTGGCCGCCGCGTACTATCGCAGCCAGCAGCAGCAGGGCCTGGTGCCCCCCGCGCAGCCCCCGGCGCCGCCCAGCGCGCCCCTCCCTGCCAGTGCCGCCGCGCCGCCCTCGCCGCCCTTCAGCTTCCAGCTGCCGCGCCGCCTGTCCGAGTCGCCCGTGTTCGACGCGCCCCCTAGCCCCCCGGACTCGCTGTCGGACCGCGACAGCTACTTGAGCGGCTCCCTGAGCTCGGGCAGCCTCAGCGGCTCCGAGTCCCCCAGCCTCGACCCCGGCCGCCGCCTGCCCATCTTCAGCCGCCTGTCCATCTCCGACGACTGAGGCGGCAAGAGGGCGCCAGCGCGGAGGAGGAAGGGAAGGCCGTTCTGGGGGTGTTGGAGGGCGCCCCTGCCATCTGGAGTCCTGTTAGGGGCGGGGAGGGGCACGGGAGTCGGTCGGCGGGGGGGTGACAGGCCACGAGCAGACTGCGGGCCGCACCGAGCACTTGGACTCGAACTTGTGTGCCGGGAGGGGCCCCCACCCCTCCCCTTTCGGTTTCCTCTTTTTTGGGTTTTTTTTTTTTAATTATTTTTATTATTATTACGAAGTTTCATTCTTGTTGAGCAAAAAAAGCCAACGAACTTTTGTATTGATGAACAAAATTTTCACAACAGGGCAGTTGTGATGCGAACAGAACAAAAAAACCAAACACTTAAAAACTTCTTTAGGTCTCCTAGGAGTTTGGGACTTTAGGGGAAAAAAATCAACCCAGCACCAGCAGCTACCAACCACCATTCCATATCTTCACTTGAAAAGCATTAGTTACAGTCCAGATGTGGGAACTCTTATCTCGAGAGAAGTTCCTAATTGTCGTTTGTCTCAGACCAGTGTAAACAAACCAGCCAGCCACCACCTTGCTAAACCTCTAAGCTTCTGGAATCCAATATTGTACCAGGAATATGCCTTGATTGTAGTCTTCAGCTCCATAGGTTTTTGTTTGACACAAAGTTATTTACGTCTGGGAAAAAAAAACAAACAAAAAAAACCCCACCTGCATTCCAAAGTTTCCTACTGGTTACTGGTGTTATTGCCACCACTTAGTGGATGTTTAATTTTAGAACCATTTTGTCTGCTCTTTTCTGGAAGCCTTGGGCAGAGCTTAGTTCCTAATCGTTGGGGGGAATAACTGCTGAATTTTTAGCTGTTTTGAGTTGATTTCGCACCACTGCACCACAACTCAATATGAAAAAACTATTTAACTTATTTATTATCTTGTGAAAAGTATACATTGAAATTTTTGTTCATACTGTATTTATCAAGTATGATGAAAAGCAATAGATATATATTCTTTTATTATGTTAAATTATGATTGCCATTATTAATCGGCAAAATGTGGAGTGTATGTTCTTTTCACAGTAATATATGCCTTTTGTAACTTCACTTGGTTATTTTATTGTAAATGAGTAAAAAAATCTTAATTTAAGAGATTGTATGTAATATTTATTTCATTAATTTCTTTCCTTGTTTACGTAAATTTTGAAAGATTGCATGATTTCTTTACAGAAATCAATCCTGATGCTGTGGAAGTAGTTTGAGGAATATCTTAATGAGTTTTCTTAGAATGTATAATGGTTGTAGCCCATCCAACTTTAATGGAAAAAAAAGTTGACCACATACTTTGCAATCAGGCTTCAATGTGGCATGCTTTTCTCATTCCAACTTTTTTTTAAACAAGAAAAAGCTTTGTTGTTCCACCAATTCTGTGACCTACTCTGCGTATAAAGACCTATGTAGCAATAATGGGGTGGGGGGTTAGTCTCACAGTGCCTTTGGAAGGGCCAGAACTTGCCTTAAATCTTCCTCAACCAAATAAGTATTTTTCTATTAGTCCTTGAGAGAATTTGAATGTAGGATGGGTTCAACTGCACAAAAGGAAAAGATATTTACCACTTTCTTATATAGATCTAAAGTGAAGAGGCCACCTCTTAGTGCTAAAAAATGGTATGTAGTACATGAATATGCCTTGTTTCATTACAGAAAATTCCAAAACTTGTACTTTTTTTTTTTTTGCGTGTGTAGAAGGGCAGGAATGCTTTCCTGGACAGCGGATGAATGAGCAGTAGCTTTAGTGCGTACGTAGGTACAGTTGGAGCACTATGTATGTATGTACTCTGGACTACTTTGACAGAAGTAGGATTTTGAATGTAACAAGATAAGTCAACTTGAGTTGTAATATATTTTGGGGAATCAGTTCACTACAAATTGTGACTGTAAACATTGTACTGTAAATGTTTTGTAGTTTTCCCCCAATAAAATTTTTGGGAAAAAAGGTATTAATGTGTAAGATGCTTGCTTTTTTTTTTTTTCCAAACTGGAACATCCGAGTGTTTCCGCTTACCACCACCTTGTCAGGCATCGCCCAGGCCTCGGAGGGGTTGGGGGGCTAAGATTTTGGGAGCTGGCACAGGCCAGGTTCAGAATGGCCTGCCCCTATGTATTTTATAGCAAGTTCTTCAGCTGAAGTAATTATTTGGACTGTCAAGGGCATTAGTTAGCTGTTCCCCTTGGTAATAAGATGCATCCCTGTGTTGGCTGGCTGGCTGGTGGCAGGCCCTGGCTGAAGGCCTGAAGGGGTGTGGCTCGCCTGTGAGTCACCAAATGGGTCACGTGTCTGCGGTGGCAGCTGAAGGTCCGATTTTTTTTTTCTTTTCTTTTTTTTCTTTTTTGCTGGGACGCGCAGGGAACGGAGCGGCCAGGGCTAGGGTGGGGAATGCGGGAGGGTATGGCCAGCCCCAGGCCTGCAGGCCCCTAGAGTGTTCCACTGCGGAAGAGGAGGCGGTGGGGTTAGGCCCAGCCTCTCTCGGGCTGAGGAAGCAGAGTTTTGCCTGCACTTTGGGAAGCCTGGTTGTGTCCTTGTCCGAAGAGGAAGGAAAGAGGAGTAAGATGGAACAGGTCAAACTTATATCTGGGTAATGTGTGTTTACGCGGACAGCTTCCTCTGGGAGTGAGTGCACACGTTTTTTATGCAAAAGGATTAGTGTCTGCTTCAGGCGACTGTAAGTGGCCAGAAAGCAAATTGCAGCCCAGGCCTCTAGAAGAAGGAAGAAAAAAAAGAAACGGCACCAATTTGTCTGCCGGTTCGCACACAGTTGAACAAAACCTTGGTACGGTTTTTTGGTTTTTGGTTTTGCTTTTTGTTTTCTCCCTACCGTCACTTTGAAGACTTCAAAGTCAGGTTCATAAATCAATTCCTGTTTTTCCCTTCTCCCTCCTCCCCGCCTACCTACCCCCACGTCCCACCCCCCAGTTCAGACACTTTTTTCCAAAGTAGGTAAAAGATTTAGCAATAGTTTGTTTTCTTATCTACCACAGGTGGGCCCTATCATCCACTGCTTGCACCCCTCTGCTGGGTCTCCTGCGTCTCCCAGCTGAGCCGGGCGGGCGGGCCGGTGGGGGGGGTCGGTCTGGAGCCCGCGGGGCCTCGGGCAGCTGTTTCACGTTAGCCGTGATTGCGCTGGTGTTAACTGGAGCGTTTTGGTGCTTGGCTGCCAAAGGGGATGGGCAACAGTTTCAGAGTTCTCCCAGATGCCGGGCCCCTGGCTAAGGGCCTAGGCTGTGGGGGAGGGGAAGCCTGCAGCCCAGGAGGGCTCGGCGGGCAGGACCTTGCGGGCTCCCTGGCCTCTCCACCATAAAGAATGTGCAGTGGGGAGGAAAAGTCTGAAATGCGGTGCTATTTAGGCCAAGCTGCATTTCAGAGGCCTTGTTTCCACCTCATTCCAAAACTTATTTTTTCTAAACAAGTACTTTTGATCGGCTGGAATGTCAGACTTGTTGGGGTAAGCCACATTCATTTTTTTAAAAATTGGTTTGTTTGAAAGCCCAACTGCTAGGATCTGATGTTTTGTGTTTGAGGCCCAGTGGAGCATGGCAAGCTGGGGGGGGGGGAATCATTCAGAAATTTCCTCTTGCCGCAGATCAATGGAGGGTATATCGGTCATTGTCTTTCTGCAGTGGCTGGAATGAACAGCAAACAAAACTCTGTGCTAAAGTATTCTTGTAAATGAAGGGGACTAGAAGTAAAAATTGCAAGTAAGGACAAGCCGGGATTCCTGTCACAGGCTGGGGAGCAGAACTGGAGCTCACTGGGTCCAAGACTGTGTTACACCCAAGATAAAATTCTTTTGCAGCCAGTTGTGAAAAGGAGCCCAGGATGGGAGGGAGTTGAGCATGTCTTTTTTTTTTTTAGATTTTATTTATTTATTTGAGTGAGAGAGAGCACAAGGCTGGGCGGGGAGGCAAAGGGAGAAGGAGACTCCCTGCTGAGCAGGGAGCCCAACATGGGGCTCCATCCCAAGACCCTGGGATCATGACCTGAGCCGAAGGCAGACGCTTAACCGACTGAGCCACCCAGGCATCCTGAGAACGTCTTAATAGTGGGGGCGCCTGGGTGGCTCAGTCGGTTAAGCGTCTGCCTTCGGCTCAGGTCACGATCCCAGTGTCATCCAGCCCCGCGTTGGGCTCCCTGCTCAGCGGGGAGTCTGCTTCTCCCTCTACCCTTCCCCCCTGCTCATGACCTCTGTCTCAGTCTCTCTCTCTCTCAAATAAATAAATAAATTCTTAAAAAAAAAAAAAAATGTTTTAACAGTGGCATTGCTGCTGGCTGTGTGAAAATGAAAATATTTTTTTTAAGCAGCCCAATTAGTATGTGCCACCTTCTAGATTATTTCAGAGGGGGGATGAGTACATGGACATATTTGCCGCCCCTCACTCTGTCTGAATCTACTGCTGAGTATATAAAAGGGAAAAACAATAACAACAACAACACACACATCAAAAAAAGATTGAAAAGGCCAAAGCCCAGCACCCGCCCGTGGGAAGAGACTGGGGGCGGCAGGGGTTGCGAGCCCCGCAGCGGCTCAGGAGACTGGATGAAAGGGCCAGGCCTGGGAGGGCCCAGAGAAGGATGGACAGACAGGCACAGCTCTTGGCCCCAGGTCTGGCCCAGCGAGAGGACGCTGGGTATTAAAATCTGCTTGGGGTCTGAGAACCCGCCCCCACCCCACCCCGAGGCTGGGCTTGTTCGAGGAGGAAACCCTAGAGAGCGTTTGAACTGGGAGGGAACCATCCCCAGGCACTTGCTGTCCCCGTTTTGGCGATGGTGACAAGAGCAAAGGAGAGGTGACTCTAGCCAAGTCCTTGGCCTGGTGACTTGGGGGCAGCCAAGGGAGCCACAGCCAGGCTCCCCTTCCGTCAGAGGACCAGCGCCACCCTCCGTTGTTGTTACTCCATTTCATTGTGTTTGGTTTCTGTCGTGCACACAGGAGGTGGTGCAGACCTGTGGCCATCCAGGGCAGTTGGAGTTGCCCGCAGCTGGAGGAAGGGAGGAAAAGCGGGAGGGGCGGGGCCGAGGCGGCCCAGGAGGTGGTGAGCGCCCCCCCAGCAGCAGGAAGCCCACAGCCCCTCCAGGGCCCACCCCCCTGCCTAGGGGGCTTCTCCAAGCTCTCCTGATGTTGCTAAACCTGGAAAGCATCTGAGTGTTGCTGTGTCTAAGGGTGTGTCTGTGTGTGGGGGGGGTGTCCATATGGAGGGAGGGGTGTGTGCGTGTCTCTGTGTCCCTGCATGGCCAGCTGGGTGTGCACATGTTCGAGCCTTCTGTATGTGGGTGTTCAGGGGTCTGTGTGCTGTTGCCGCCTGGGAGTACTGGTGTGGGGGGCTGTTGGTGTGGGGGGGGGTACGTGTGTCCGTAGAGTCTGAGAGTGTGCGTGTGAGTGTGGGTCTGGGTGTGGGTGTGTTTGTTGCTGTTGGGGGGGGTGTGCAAGGGCCTCTGTGTGAGTAGGGGTCTGGGTTTGGTGTGTCTGTTGCTGTGTGGGGGTGTGTCTGTTGCTGGGGGCGTGTGGGTATGTGGGGGGTGTCTGTTGCTGGGGGTGAGCGTAGCTGTTGCTGTGTGGGTAGGCGTGCGGCTCTGTGGGGCATGAGGAAGGTTCTGTGGGTGTTGCTGTATGTTTGGGTATGGATGTGTCTTTGTGCGGCTGAGGGTGTTAACAACACCTACAGAGGAAAAGCAGCCCTTTTTAGCAGACCTCTTTTCAAGTTGAGAACTGCTTTCAAAACCCGGAAATGGTGGCCAGGCCGTGGTCTGTCTCCTGCAGGGCGGTGGGCAGAACAGGGCTGAGTGGGAGGATGGCAGACAGGCCTGCAGGGACCCCAGACCCATCTTACTGACCGGCACACCTGCCAAGGACAGGCCGCCGGAGCCTGACTGCAGGGACATATTTAGAAACAATTCATTCTCTGGGTGGAGGGGGAGGGGACCCCTTTATTTTCCTCCGTACAGAAATAGCTCTCATCAGATAGGAGTTCTTGAGCCCTCTGGGGTGAGAGGCAGCTCTGAAATAGAAGGAAAGATATTAAGGATTTTAGACAGACAAGAAAACTCCTGAGCTCACTGAAACCGAGTTTAAAATATTTCTCTAAAAATAAGCTTTGTTTTCCTTGTGGATTCCTCTGGCAATCGGACCCTCGTGTCAGGGTGCTTAGCTGGCCTATGAAGCCAGGCGGAATTTTTAAAAAAGCAAGTGTTTCCCAGCCATGGCCTTGGAAAGTTCTCTGTTTTCCATTTATTAAACTCCTAGTTTCCAGCTAATTAAAATAATTTTCAAATAAAACTCCATAGCCCAGCAATATTTGGTGCAACACAGAATTTTCAGTGACCCCTCTGCAAGAGGCTGGGCTGGGCTGGGCTGTGGGATGGCCTGGGACCCCCTCCCCTGGGCCAGTTTTATGGGGAGAGGGACCCTTCAAAATGCAGGTCCAGGGCCTTACGTTACCAAATCCCAGCACCCTCACGGTGACAGGTGAGGGGCTGCTTGCAAGGCTGTCTCTGAGCCGTGCACCACTTGAGAAGGGGTTGTGGGGTCACTGGGAAACTGCTGTTTGCCAGCCTGCACCAGGGAGCACAGGAGGGGTACACTGCTGGGGTGGGGGGGCACTGGACTGATGTATGTGGCAGGTGGTCCTGTGCTACCTGGTCGCCTCTTCCTGGCCCGGCTGGTGATGAAGCTTCAGGTCCAGTCAAGCCAGTGTGCCAGGACTTTATTGGGCACCTACAGGATGCCCAGACTCCCAAGACAGCACGTTGTGAAGCAGAAAGCAGAGACACGGCCAGGCAGGAGGCTCGTGTCACCCAGGGCCATACCTGGTGACAGGTCTGTCCCCTCGCTGCCCTGAGATCCAGTCCAGACATCAAAGGGAGGGTGCGCTGGGGCTGCTGGCCAGGACCCTTCAACCGTCCCACAGATGGTTCTTGATTGTCTAGTAAATGCCTGCACTGGGGTAACAGAGGCGGGCTGACCGATGTTGTCCCCTGCCTTCAGGGAGTGTTCCCATCTTCCAGGTTCGTTCATGATGTAGCATGCATCAGCTGTCATTCCTTTGTAGAGCAGGATAATATTCCATTATATGGCTTGTACTACATTTGGTTTATCCACTCACCAGTTGATAGACATTTGAGTTGTTCCAGCTTCTTGGCTCTTGTTGAATAATACTGCTATGTCACCCGTGTACAAGTTTTTGTGCATGTGAACATGTTTTCAGTTCTTTGGGTTATATACCTAGAAGTAGAATTGCTGGATCATATAGTAACTCTATGTTTAACTTTTTGAGGGACTGTCTTACTATTTTCCAAAGTGACACATTGGTTTTCAGAATTGCTTTTTTTTAAGGTTTTTATTTATTTTCTTAAAGATTTATATTTATTTACTAGAGAGAGAGAGCGTGCACAAATATGAGGGGGTGGGGGCAGAAGGAGAGGGGAAAAGCAGGCTCCCCACTGAGCAAGGAGCCCAATGCGGGGCTTGATCCCAGGACCTTGAGATCATGACCTGAGCCAAAGACAGACACTTAACCGACTGAGCCACCCAAGCGCCCCCAGAACTGTTTTATTAATGTTAGTTTCCCCCTCTCAACCTCCTGCAGGCTTCATCATGTCCACATAAAAAACTTGTACACTGTTCACAATAGCCAGAAAGTGGAAACAACCCAAATGTCCATCAATAGATGAATAAGTCAACAAAATATGGCCTATCCTTAGAATAGTATTTAGTTATAGAAAGGAATGAAGTACTGACACATGGAAGCACCTTAGAAACAACAAGGTGCCTGGGTGGCTCAGTCAGTTAAGCATCTGCCTTCAGCTCAGGTCATGATCCCAGCGTCCTGGGATCGAGTCCGGCATCAGGCTCCCTGCTCAGCGGGGAGTCTGCTTCTCCCTCTCCCTCTGCCCCTCCCCACTGCTCATTCTCTCTCTCTCTCTCTCTCAAATAAATCTTTAAAAAACAAAAACATAATGTTAAGTGAAAGAAGCCAGACACAAAAGGCCATATGTTGTATGATTCCACTTACATGATATGTTCAGAATAGGCAAATCCGTAGAGACAGAAAGTAGACTGGCGGTGGCCGGGAGCTAGGGGACCAATGAGGAATGACTGCTGATAGATGTGTTTCTTTTGGGGTTGATGGAGATATTCTGGAAATAGATAATGATGGTTGCACAGCCGTGTGAACATACTAGAATTTGTACATTTGTATATTTTAAACTGGTGAGTTTTATTGTGTGTAAATGATATTTTTCCTTTTAGAAAATGTATACGCACAAGCTGAAATCCAGGCTACAAAAGGAAAGGACAGCGAGAAAGCCTCTACCAGGGAAACCAACCTCACTTAGGGTCCAGGAAGCCCTTACGAATGTAGGAAGGGCAAATGGTAAGTAACAATAAGATAAAGGGTCAGTGAAAGAGTTTTCAGGTAAAAGGAGCTAGTGCAAAAGCCCTGTGGTTAGAGGGAGCATGGTTCCAGAGAGGGAAGGAAAGAAGGATATGGTGCCAAGGGGTAGAGAAAAGAGCAAGGTGGCACAGGATGGGGCTGGGGCAGTGGGCTCAGCCTTCAGAAGATCTCGCCTGCCTTCTGCTTCCCACCAATTCCTCTGTTAGAACATCGTATTTTTTTTTTTTTAAGATTTTATTTATTTATTTGAGAGAGAGAGAATGAGAGACAGAGAGCATGAGAGGGAGGAAGGTCAGAGGGAGAAGGAGACTCCCTGCTGAGCAGGGAGCCCGATGCGGGACTCGATCCCGGGACCCCAGGATCATGACCTGAGCTGAAGGCAGTCGCTTAACCAACTGAGCCACCCAGGCGCCCCAGAACATCGTATTTTTGGTTCAGTGATTTCTACACTCTTGTTTTCTCATATTATCCTAACGCTACTTCACAATGCCTACATCGTTCACCTCAGTTCATCTCATCACAGGGGCGTTTTATCATCTCACATCACAACAAGGCTGAGTGCAGTACAGGAAGATATCTTGAGAGACCACATTCATGCAATTTTCATTACAGGATAGTGTTATAATTGTTCTATTTTATTATTAGTTATTGTTTATCTCTTAGTGTGCCTAATTCATAAGTGAAACTTTATCATAGGTATATATGCATATATAGGAAAAAGCATAGTATATGCAGGGTGTGGGGCTATTTATGGTTTCAGGCATCCCCTGGGGGCCTTGAAACGCATCCCCTACAATAAGGGGGTAGGCCACCATATTACCATTGTGCTTCATCACCTTCTGCTTCCCCTCCTCCCCAGCTCACGCCCACAGGTCTCCTCGTAGGAATGCCTTAAAGATTCTAATAATAGTTACTCTTTATGGAGCTTCCATCATATACTCAAGCTTTACGTATGTTAAGGACAGTCCTTCATATCCACCCAAGACTGAGGTACTGTTACTATCCCCATTTCACAGATGAGGAAACTGAGCTCAGAGGAGTCATCATATGCCTGAAACTGGAAAAGCTGGAGCAGAATTCAAAAGAATCTAAACTGTTGCTCCTTCAAATCGCCTGGGGCTACTGCTCTGACGCCTCTCTACCTGCCTTTCTTTCTCACACTGTCTATAAACCTGTATTTCCAAGAAGACTTCCAGGATTCCCTTCCAGGGTAGACTGTGTCCTGCCTCATCTGTGCTTTTAACTGTGTTCAATTTTTACAGTCTTTAATTGTGTTCACTTAGTTCAAGTCACCCTTCAGCTCAAAATCCTCACTCAGAATAAAACCTAAAATCTCAACGAGGCCTACAAGGTCCTCTGTTATCTGTCCCTCCCCACCAGCTCCCTCCTTTACCTTCTGGCCTTGACTCTACCTTTCCCTCATCCTGCACCAACCACACAGGCCCCCTTGCTGGTCCTCAATCATGCTGCGCCTGCTCTCTGTCTCAGGGCCTTTGCACTTGCTATTCCCCCCATGCTCTTCCACATGACCCTTTCCTTCAGTTTCCTGCTGTCACCTTTTCAGGGGGCCGCCCAGACCACCCTCTCTAAAACAACACCCCCATCTGGTGTCATTCCTCTCATCCGGTTTTATGTTTTCCCTAGCATTTGTCATCCTTTAACATTTTTTAAATGCCTTTGTTTATGTACCTACTGTCCTTCCTGCTTAGACTCTAAGCTTCATGAGGGCAGGCGCTGTCCCCAGAGCAGGGGAAACCACTGAAGGATTTTAAGCTGGGGAGTAAGAGAACCACATTTACATCTTTTAAAGTTCATTTATTTATACTCTCTACACCAAACATGGGGCATAAACTCACAACCCCGAAATCAAGAGCCGCAAGCTCTACCAACTGAGCCAGCCGGGCGCCCCAACCACATTTACATTCTTAAAGCATTTCAGGCGCCCGGGTGGCTCAGTTGGTTAAGCGTCTGCCTTCTGCTCAAGTCGTGATCCCAGAGTCTCCGGATCGAGCCCCACTTCAGGCTCTCTGCTCAGAGGGGAGTTGGCTTCTCCCTCTCCCTCTGCTCCTCCCCCTACCCCCCGCTCATGCTCTCTGTCTCTCTCATAGATAAATAAAATCTTAAAAAAAAAAATAAAGAATTTCAGTTGTATGAAGAGTAGACTGAGGAAAAAAAGTATTCCTTATAAAAACAATTGTAATGCTAAAAGGGTTTAAAACTCATGACCTAGTGTATCCCTTTCATTCCATAGATGAGAAAACTAAGGCTTAGAGAGGGTGGAGGGGACCCCTCTAGAGACTTTCCAATTTCTGGCTTTCTACAAGAGCCCTGGAAAAAGAGACCACCCAGGACACTGTCCTCCCTAGGTATGATCTGTACCCATAGGGCTGTTGGTAAAAATGGAAATACCAACTCTCACCAAAGCAGACCTAAATCCCTCTGGGCTGAGAGGCTGGGAGCAGCTGGTTTCGGGATGTTCTGTCCCTCCAGCCTCTCAGGGAGGGCCTGGAGGGTCCACGGGGTGGCCCTGGCCAGGAGCTTACAAAGCACAACCCTGTGAGCCCAGAGCTGCCGCAGGGGCTGGGGCAAGGGAGGACTCCAGGCCGGTGTCCCCACCACTGTGTCACTCAGGGTTACAAGCAGAGGCTCCCATAGACCTCCATTCAAACCTCATCCCACGGCCACTCCCTCCCTGTGTAATCCCGAGCAGACCTCTGAGCCTCGGTCTCCTCATCGTGAAATGGGGATGATGGTACAGTTCTACGGTGCAAAGCCCCCGCGAGGGTCAAGTGTGATGCCACGTGTGAAGTGTCTAGGAGCAGGCCTGGTTCAGGGTCCCCCCGATGAAACTGTGCAGATGAGCAGAGTGGTCAGCAACCCGGGCTGCCTGAGACCACGGACCAGCTGCTAAGGCTCTCTGTGCCTTGATGTCCTCATCTACAAAATATCGGGCCTATTCCCTAGGGCTCTCATGAAGCTTAAATGAGTCAACTCATGTAGTGAGAAGAGAACCTGGCTCAGCAAAAGCGCGACATAGGGGAGGGGCGTGGGGGAGCGGGCAAAATGGGTGAAGGGAAGTGGGAGGTCCAGGCTTCCAGTTAGGGAATGAATAAGTCACAGTATAAAAGGGACTATAGTCAACGGTACTGTAACAGTGTTTTGTGGTGACATACGGTAGCTACACTTGTGAACAGAGTATAACATACAGAGATCACTATGTTGTACACCTGAAACTAATGTAGCATTGTGCGTCAACTAGACTTCTAAATACAGGGACGAAGACATACATACTGTATATATACATACATAAATGTAACAATTTGTTATTGAATCTCTTGGGTTTTTTTCACACTTAAACAACAGGCACCAAATCTGAGGGGGTCAGGAAGGCCCCCTTGTCTGCCTCTACCAAAACTCCCCCAACCACACGAGCCTGAAGATACGGCAACTGCCTTTCTTTAGAAATCCTAGATAGATCTGCCCTGTCCAAAATGGCAGGCACTAGCCACATGTGACTACTTAAATTTAATTTCTATTAATCAAAATTTAAAACTCACTTCCTCAGTTGCCTAGCCACATTTCAAGTGCCCGACAGCCACAGGCACTGAACAGCACCACTCTTCTAGAGTGTTCTATAAAATGCAAATAGCTATACGGAAGGAAGCCTCTAGCATCTGACCCTTGAAGGGTTGTCCTTTTCCAAAGCCAGTCCCGGAACATACCCATGATGCCCTTGATGGCTCTCCCTCCCTCCCTCAGCCAAGAGAGTCCGAAATATTCCCAAACCACCCCTCTGTCCAGTAGACTACCAGTGCTAGTGGGGGAGAAACCAAGGGACCACTCACCGCATGGTGGCACCTCACAGCCCTGTCTAGCAGCCTGGGACCTGCCTCCTCTCAGACACCCCAGGGACACGGACCCCTCCCGTGGTCCCTGCCTCCACAGCTGTGATACCACATCCATCCAAGTCACTGATGCCAGAACCTCGTGTCCTCCGGGAGTCTCTCTCCAGTTCCCTCCACCCCTTCCCTCATAGGCTGCCTGAAGCTCATGACTCTGCTCTCTCACCATGCCCAGACACTGCCCCCTCTCTCTTGTCTTTACTGCCTCGGCAGCTCAGGCTCCTCCTCTCCCCAGACCCGGCGAGGAAGCGGGAGCCCCCAGCTGCTCCTCCTCCTGGCCACCATTCATCATTCCGAGCCAGCTTCGAAAACACTTAGGCAGAGGCGCCTGGGCGGCACAGTCGGTTAAGCATCTGACTCCTGGTTTCGGCTCGGGTCGCGATCTCAGGGTCTTGGGATTGAGCCCCGCATGGGGCTCCGTGCTCAACACAGGGTCTGCTTGAGATTCTCTCTCCCTCTGCTCCTCTCTCTCTCTCTCAAATAAATATTTTAAAATAAAACGCTTAGGCAATCGTGCCCCTCCTGCCCTAAGTCCCCGCAGGGTGCCCTCACCCCCCAGCTCAAGGCCGCGCTTCCAAACATGCTCGATGAGGCTCTGCCTTGCCCCGGCTGCCCCTCACCTGCCCTGGAGTGCTGGTGGCTGATGATTCCTTATGGACCTCTGCTCTCCCCGCGCCCCTGCCTGGAACATGCCGCGACGTCCCCCTGCTTCGTCTGCCTCCGCTGAACCTCAGCCTCGGATCTGGCCCCTCCGCCATCCCGCCCAGCTCCCCAGGGCCCCGCCAAGGCCTTTGCAGGAGCACAGAGCACATTATCCTATACCAGCTGGTGAGGGCTCCGTGGACTCTCCAGCCTGGAAGTTCCCTCCCTGCACGTTCCAGCCTGGCTCCTAGAAAGGCCTCAGTGACTGCGGCGCAGGCTGAGCCCCCTGTGAGAGGGGTGCTGTTCTCTCCCACTTGACAGATGAGAAGAATGCAGCTCGGGGAAGTGAAGAACTCGCTCCAGGTCTGCCAGCTCATGAATGGTGGGGCCATGACTCCGCTCCCACCGCTCCCCCACGGGTGCCCCAGCCCTTCAGAAGGGGGACATCAGGTTCTGGCATCCGGAAGTGTCCCTCCTCACCTTCCTCCTCAGTCCCACTCAGCAAAGCTGACTGCTCTGTGTGGTGTTTGTGTGAGGAAGCCCCGAGATTTGACTGTGAGGCTAGACACACGTGCTCGTGTACTGCGTCCGTCCACAGAACCAGGGCATGCCGGCCCACTGTCCACACGCAGGGTACCAGCACCTTCTCTCAGTGCTGACATGGTACTCCACAGCATGAGGGCCCTTGCCATGGCCGCCAAGGTTCCCACTAGTGCAGTTCTGTGGACAAGGGCAGCACACGCATCCTTCTGTTCAGACCCTCGCGTGAGGATTTCCATCAGATGAACCCCGAAGGGCAGCACAACTGAGTTGCGGGGCAGCTCACGTGTTGCTGTGGAGGGAAAGGTGCATTGACCTGCCCTCCTAGCAGCCCTCCACACATACCTGCCATCCCACTGTGCCTCGGAGGCCGTTTCCACCCGTCTGCTCCCTGTACGCCTGTTCGGAATTTCTGGAGTCTGCACGGCAGAGGCTGCCCCCTGGGGTCTGGGCTTTCTCGGTCTCCTTGTCCTGATCTCAAACCCCCGCTGCGGCCCAGCCCACCTCCCCACACCCCCAGCTCTTAGAGGGCAGCCTGGGGTTGTCCACCTGCCGGGCTGGTGCCAAAGCCTAAGGCTGCCCCCTGGGAGCCCCAGAGCAGGCCGGGGTCAGTCCCACTGGAGCTTGAGGGCCAGGAGGCGGGAAAACTCTCCCCCTGAAACCGGGGATGGGGGGAGGCCCCCCCCCCCGGCGGGACTCCTGGTGGGGGCGGCAGAAGGGGCCCTGAGACAACAGTCTTGCCAACTGAGGGTGTGAGACTGTGCAGGTGTATCTCTTCGAGAGCGTGTGGGTGAGTGTGTGTGTGCGCCTGATCCCGTGCCAATGTGCGTGTGTGTTTTAGGGGCGGTTGTGTGAGGCGTTATGTAATGGAGGCACTCCCTGGGGCCAACAAACCGCAGTGGTGTAACCGCCGGCCGGCCAGGCCACCAGAAGGAAAGGAGGGAATATGTAAACACCATTCTGGGCCTTTCCATTGCCTGCCACAAACAGGCCCTGGACAGAGCGGCTCTTCCGGTCCTCCATTCCTGCTGCCTTAGCCCTGTGTGCTGGCCTGGGAGGGGGTGATAATGGAGGCCGAGGAGCCTAGGCCAGGGGTCAAAGAACTCTCCAGAAGTGAACATCCGAGGCTCTTGATCCCAGCCCAAGGGGCGAGACAGAGAGGAGAGCCCATTGGGGTCTACCTGGGCTTCTCCTGGGTCTGCCACAGGCCATGCGTCCCCCACAAGTTAGGCATGCTGCCTTCCTCACCCCCAGAGTTGCTTT